GAGAACATCACGACAATTGTATTTTTCTTTTTCTTCCTTTATCACTCGTTATTATTGGTACAGAAGAAGAAACAAGACAATAATACTGGACGAGATGATTTAAAGTTTATCTTCTTCCGTAGCAGTAATAAAGAATGATAAAAGAAGAAAAAGAAAAATTCAATTCTCCTTTTGTCCTCTTATACGTATAATTTATTGCTAAAATGCACTGAAAAAGAAAGCAGATGCTTCCAAAACGTTTCTAGATTAATTGTTTTTAAATAATCATTTTAAAATAAAGATATAAATTATTGTAATGTCCTTCCAATGGAACATAAAATATTTATATTAAGTACCAATTATTGTAATTATAGAAATTTTATAAAATTTCTATAATTACAATAATTAAAAATCCAATTCAAGCAGATGCATAGGATCGTATAGATNTCTGAAACTTTTTTTTTCGTCCAAAAATTCGACCCCTGGTCCCCCTCAGAGATACCATGGTAAAGAAATTCAATAAAAATTTTGCTTTTCGTTTCTAAAACTCTCCTAGTTCGGCATCTAATAACTTAAATTGATTCACGAGGTATTCTCATGGCAATAAGGTGATGATTTCATGCAATATATTTTTCGGGTATCCCTGAGGGGGACCAGGGGTCGAATTTTTGGACGAAAAAAAAAGTTTCAGAAAATCTTCGAATAATACATGTATTAACTCAACTTTTTATGCTGATTTCGAATATGATATTTGTTTTATAATATAATGAAGTTTAGTTGGAAAAAATGACGATTCAGGGGTAGAATTTCAGCCTAATCCCTATTGATTTAGTAAAAGCTGTATTTCTCAGTGTGAGAAAATAATTTTTCAAAACCCATATGTAGTTTTTTTCCTTGTCTAATAATGATTCAATTGATGTATAAATATCGAGAAAATGTTTTGAAATAAAAGACTAGATAGGTTTGCAAGATGAAGGTATTGCTATACTAACCATTGAGCTTTGGAAAAACAATAACTACATCAAAAAGTATTCAAAAATATCACCAAATTAGACTAAAAGACTCCGTTTGAAACGGTAAATCTAAATAACTCGATTTAGAAAAAAATTAACACGTCTACAAGGGCAAAATTTTCGATTCTTTACGGGAGTGGTCATGGATTGGCTATGTTCGGATTTTCCAGTATTTTTGGATTTTCAGACGCAAAACATAATCAAAACACAAAAAAATATACATATTCGGAATCAGCTCGACGAGCTCTATCGAATGATACGTTAAACAGAAGCACTATATTTTTTTGCTTACGTTTTGCACTTGATGCACCTTATATATATTTATTTACAAGATTTTGTTTTTCTTGAAAATGGTTTTGGTTGACTCAAATATATACAAAATGAGTCATGAATAACATGCATTTCAGTTTATTTCATTATATTAAAGCAAATCTTATAAATGATATTACATTGATGTACATAAAGCAGATTTTCTGGATTAGTTAATTAAGATGTTAAATTCTGAAGTTTTCTGTTATATAAAATATAGTATTTAAATACTTGAAACAATAATATTACCATCATAGAATTCAATTGAAAATAAGTATTTATTTATTTATTGACAACATTATGTAATAATTGACAATACCAATGAATATTTTCTGAATATGATGATGATAATTTTATAAAATAAATTCATCATCGATATGGTTGCAACATGTATAAAAGCATAAATAGATTGATTTTGATATCAATATCAACAAGTATTTGATCATCAATATTCAAATATTTTACTAATTTACGTTGTTTTATTTTCATTATTTCGATTGTCGCATTACTAGAAAAACATTTTGTTACTTCATCTGTTCTACATTTCTATACTCAACAAAATGTGAACCACTTGTCAACATGTATGTACATGTACATAATGTATCATAACTACTGTCTTGATCGAATATTGTTTGAAATAAATGGAATATAACGAAAATCTTTACTAAAACCATTCTAATATGCGTAGTTATTTGTTATTTTTTTTTCCATTGATTTTATATGTGATTAATCAAGCATAACTTTTTGTACTTTTTCGTTTATTTATATCAAAAAAAAAAAGACTAATCGTATGAGTCATTGATTTCGATAAATATGTGATCAATCAACATCTGGTGATTTCCTATTCATTTTTTAAAAGAATAAATGCTAACGTTTTAACATCACACACATACACATACGTTGTTCATTGCTGATATACGTATATGTCCAAAAGCAATTTTTCTTTTCTTTCTCTCTCGTTTGCTTTGGCCTCGAAGGAGAACAGAAGGTCAACAGTAGTAGTCTAAAGACATAGACAAGCACGCACATATATATGAACGATATTTTTGAACGAAAACGTGTTTGTTTAGTTATCGACCTCGTTCGTTTGTGCCCTTTTCATAGATGAAAATGTTTGTCCGTTGATTGGATAGACAAAAAAAAAAAAAAAAGAAAGAAAAGAGAAAAATCATTTCGTTAGTTGAATAACGGTATCACGAGGATGTGTATGTATATAAAGCTTATTGTTTCTGTTCATTTGAGACACCAGAAAGAAGAGCAATGCAGCAGATATTTTTCTTTTTTTAGTGTGTCTGTGTAGTCTGATCAACGTAGATATATGTATCTTTATTTTCTATTTCATTTTAGAAAGCATTGAAATAACAATAAGAAGACTTTAATATATCATCTAGTTAAGTAAGTATTGAAAAATCTTATTTCTTTTCTTATATATTATAACATCCCAATAGCATAAAATAAGTAATCCTTAATTTCATAGTTCTTGATCATCAGATATGAGATCAATTTGCTCTGTTTTTTTTCTTCTTCTCTCTCATCAATGCCAGCTGCTATTTTCCTAACCACTTTACACAAAATACAAACAATTCTTCTTTTACTAGTCTCAATCTTAGATTTATCTGAAATGAATGTTTCTTTTTTAAATTAAGAAATATGAAGAAAAAAAAATAGATATAAATTTATACTAGATAATATAAAATTAGACAAATATGTTTTGAGTGTTTATTTAGTTTATTAATCAAATTTCATGTTAAAAAGAAAATAATATTTGTTTTAATAGCGAATAAATTCAATTTGAAAAATCATCTTTCAAAAGAAAATAAAGATTGATTTTGTTGATCTTATTTTTATATATTTATTCTATGAAATATTTTGATAGATCATTCAATTCTATTGTCTAATTAATATTGATTATCAATTAACAAAATAAATGGAACGAGAAATGCATGAACGTAAAGATTTATTGACAACATCGCCTGATGAAGTTGCATTCATTAAAAAAACAAATATTGTCAAGTAAGTTTTATATATATTTTTTTTTCTATAATTTATACACACAAGAGCACAACATAAAATAAGGAAAGAAAGATATGATTAGAAAATATTCCCTTTAGAGATCTAAAACTATACTATCATTTGCTAGTAAAGTTGTTTTTATGCTTTCTTCTACGATTAATTATTCTTCGAAATATATCGTACCATTGAGGTTTTATCAAAAAAAAAAAAGTTGACAGATGGATGACATACCGCACTAAACTACAAAACAAAATATATATTCCTATCATCGATCATCTATTCCGTTTTGATAAAGTCTATTGTGGGATTCAATGATGTTAATCATCATCAAAAAAGAGAAAATATATATATATATCGGTTAAATCTCTACACAAATGGATGAATATATTTAGGAAATAATTATCAAAGGTCAATTCACAACAGGAATCAAAGATAAAAAAAAGTATTTAGATATCAATTTAACTATCGTCTCTAGTTTATACTTTACCAATTAAAATCGATACTGCCATCGGTTATATTCCATTCATGACAATAGCAATCAATATAAAACAAAAACAACATATAGACAATGTCAATATTTGTCTATATGTGCTTGAGTGAAAAACGAGACGATGACCTCAATGAATAAGGAAGGGCGTCAATGCGTATGTGTGTGTATATATATATCTTCGTATGTTCAAAGGAACACTTTGAATACAAAAGACATGATAATAATGATTATTCGCTCAGTTGGATGATCAATTGATCGATTGGCGCCATGCCTAGATTTTTTTTTTTTCTATAGTAAGATTGCAATCATAATTACTAAGCAGATGTTTCATTTAAGCAAATTTCTCTCTTTAGTCCATTTGTATACTGTCTGTCATTCATTTAGATATATTTGGCTATGAGCCAAATATAACTAAAAACTATATTTGACAATGACTATCGTTTTATGCTTGACAGTTTATTCCGTACGTTTTTTTTTTTCTTCTCTTTCTAGAAAGACAAATAGAATATAACCAGTTGTTATGGTTACTTTTTTTTAAAAAGTTAGTTGCGGTTGTATGCTTGACACACTATACTTCTTTTTTTTTCTATTATCATCATCATCATCATTTGACCGAATGTGTGAGTCTGAATATAAATGGGAGCGGTGAGGCGGAAGCATGCGCGAACAAGGAAAGAGAAGATGAAAACCTGTTGTAATGAGCCCCATCGCACTAATTCCTGATTGGAGTGTCGTCCCAACCGAGTTCACCTCTCTTTCTATTTCTTTTTTTCTCTCTCTCTCTCTCTCTCTTTCGCCTTTTTTTAGATATGTCCGCTAATTATCCCTTCTCTGTGCTGTCTGTTCGTTTCTTTCCCTTTTCTCTCTCTCTCTTTTTTTCTCTTCTTCTTATCTTCTTCTCTTAACTGCTGCATACCACACATAGTGGTTACTCTAGTCAATGAAAGACAAAAGAAAGTAGTTGTTCGAAGAAAATTCATTGAGCGTTCTCTTTCATTTCTAAATATATCTTTTTAGTTGCTGTCATCGTTGTCGACTTTTACTTCTTTCTCGTTTTTTTTTTTTTTTTAAACTAACCGCGAAGTAGACATATAAAGGCTTTCTTTTTCTCTCTCTCTCTCTCTCTGTCTTACACACACATCTTCTTTTTGCCTGTAGACCATTTTTTTTGTCTATCTTGAAAAAAAGAATAACCTATGGCCACTACCGAAGTACAACTTAGTGAACGTCAACCAATGTTAACTTCAACGGAAGAAATTCTTCATTCAAATCCGGTTGCTTCATCAGCCATACCGATTGAAAGTAGTACAACAGTCATACGAAAGTAAGTGAACGCGCACCATATGGATGCGTCATATATTATATGAGTTCTATGGTGTCAGCTCGTTCTTTTTTTCCGTTTCTTGACCATCCGTTGTATTGCAATGTTGTAGGTGAATTTAACATAGCATTTATGTAATTTTTTTTTCATTGAAAAATATCGTTCAGATGTAAATTTAGAAATATTACTAGGTATAGTCAATAGTTTGTTTTTCTATAATGAATATAAATTTTCATCATAATTTTACTAATAATACATGTATATCTAACATTGAATTATTGGTTAAATTTAATTGAAAAAATATATTTTATTTTTGTATAATCAGCAAAAAACTTTTTTATCCTACAATAAGATATTTATTTACATGAATGAAATGTAGAACAAAATTTTTTCTTTTTTTTTTATGGTGTTTACTTGTAGACGAGCAGGTGTGTATAGTAGCGGTTTTAAAAGCAAGGATAAAAAACATCACATGTTTGCTTTATAATTATAATATCAAAGTGTAATAAATTGTTATAATCACTAATCAAATTGAAAGCTAAATTTGTTGTCTAAATACTATAATCGATGTCATATGATGCATAATTAATCTAATCCCGAGAAAAGATTAAAATATTTTTATTTTACGTAACTTGATTTTATGAACTCATGTGTAAATCAATCACTTCATCTGATTTCCAAAGTCTTATTCCTATGATAAATTTCTTTTTATCGTACATTCCAAGCTCAACTAAAATTCCCATGTCATTTGTGACATATATATTCCATAAAGATAACATTTTCTAATTAACGTTATAAATGTTAATTTTTCATTTGCATATCCGGTGTAGTCAAGGAAATGAAATATCCATATAAAAGTGGTAAATTTCACACATAATTGTAATACGATAAAAAGAAAAATTGATCTAGACAAACAACTGTATGGCTTTGTCTTCGATAAGATATCAAAACTTTCTCATATATATATATATATGTATTACAAACAGACAGAAAGAATAGATAAATCCGTTCATGCCCAGTATTCATCACATTTTCCTCCGCCTATTCTTATCAATCGACATATGGAATATGTCATCAATCAGATAGTTATATAAAACTGAATTAGTGTGAATTGATATATGTTTAAATCAAAATCAATGATAGATTCCAGAAAAATATGAACTTCATACTTTTCTTTTTAATCTCTTTTTGAAAATTTATTTCTATTTAGGGATATTGATATTGTACCTGAAGATAAAAATAAATTTATCCAAGTTATTCGTCCATTATTAGTTGAACTTGTAAGTTAAAAAAAAAAAAACATGAAAAAATAAAAATCTATTTCATTTAGATTGGTACAACATTATTTGTTCTTATTGGTATGTGGGGTGCATGTTCAGGTGGTGGTGTTCTTACTAGTGCATTATCATTTGGTCTTGCATTAATGGTATTTGCTGCTAGTTTTGGACATATATCAGGTGTTCATTTTAATCCAGCTGTTACAGTTGGTGTTTTAATTGCTGGTGAAATGCAAGCTGCTATGGCTATACTTTATGTTGTTATGCAACTTTTAGGAGGTAAGAAAATTGTTTTTTTTTAAAAACAAAAAAAAAGTTTCTTATGAAAAATTATTTAGGTATTGCTGCTGGTGGTCTTTTACGTTTATTACTTGCAACACGTATTTATGCTGATTGTAAAGGTGGTGCAACATTATTAACAACATATCATGCTTTAAATGAAACAGGTGCTAAAGGTCCTATTTATTATATTACGGATTCTGTTCGAATTTGGCAAGTATGTTATTTGATAAAATAATAAATAAAAAAATATAAATAATTTATTTTAAGGGTATTTTAATTGAATTTATTGTTACATTCGTTCTTATTACTGTCATTCTTATGGTTTTACTTGATACAAAATCAAAAACTGGTCTTGCACCAATTCTTGTTGGATTTACATTAGCTGTTAATATTCTTGCTGTGTAAGTGAATATTAAAAACAAATATGTATTTTTATTTTAATTGAAAATAATCAATTTAAATTTTAGTGGTGCATATACTGGTGGTTCACTTAATCCGGCTCGTTCACTTGGTCCAGCTATATTTGCTAATCAATGGGAACATCATTATGTTTATTGGATTGGTCCACTTGTTGGAGCTATTGTTGCTGGTTTTCTTTATCGGTAAAGAAAAAAAAAAAAAACTTTTTTTTTCAAAAGAAAACTTTTTTATGTTTTAGTATGGTTTGGGCTCATTATGATCGTCGTATGTTTGTTAAACGTACACCAACAGCAACAGGTGTCAAAGCCTAAGAAAAAAAAAAAAAAAGGGTTTTTACCATTTTTTTTTTTTTCTCCTTATGAATGTGAGCATCGTTTTGGAATAGTTAAGAAAGAAAAATAGACGAAAATTTATGTGTATTCGTTGTTTTGATGTGTTTATTAATCATTTCATTTTTTGTTTATTTTCTCATAGTTATTTTCTAATTCATCTTATGTTTTCTTTCTTTTCTTTTTCTGTTTTGTGTGTATATAGATTAGAATTCTTGTTAGCCTAGAAAAACATTCAATAATAAATCTTCTGTTTGTGCTTTTGTTTTTGATTGCTCAAGAAAAAAAAAAAAAAAAAGAGAAAGATATTCTTCTCTTGAGAATGACGATATCTTTCGTGCTCTTCTTTTTTTTTTGTTTTTTTTTTCTTCTTTGTCTTGAAAATTGAACATCATGAACTTATATTAGTCATTTGTTTTTTTTTTTTTTTTTTGCGCTTTGCTTGAGTGCTTGTAATAATATATGAAACAACGTTCTAGTTGAGTCATATTTAGAACAAATTGCACGCTTGCAGGTTCTTTATGTTTATTGCACTTGTGGTTATATTTCTTTGTTCTATTATTATTGTCAGCAGCTTTTTTTTTTCTAATAAAGAGAAAATAAAACCATATATAACAGTAGTTTCTACATATTCGGAACTAACGAAATGCTTTAGTGTAGAATGAACGTATGACCTGTGATCCTTTCTTATTTATGTGACCGGTTTCTTTCATTCCTATTCTTCTATATTTCATTAAATTTCCTGTAAGCATTTACAAGTGTTACAATGACATACATTATAAACAAAAGAAAAGAAATAATTAAGTTAAAATGATGTTGTAACATATTACGCAACTTCTTTATAGTGAATATCTTTTCTTGGAAAATTAAGAAGTTTTAACATGTAGTAAAATTTTTCTGGCGTGAACACCGTTGGGGCTTTTCAAAGGTATTCACTATATTAATATAATATGTGTTGCACTTTTCGACCATATTCTAAATAGATGATACAGCACTCTTGTTCATTACTTTGTTAAAATCATTAGAAAAATTGAAATTAAGATAAATACATGAACGATCTGATTTGTTTATTTGATATGTTCTTTTTTGCTAACATTTTTTGATGATCTCTGTCATGAATTAGAACCAATAGAATGAACAACTACGGAGATTTTTATATTGCTACATGAACTATATTTGAAATTTGAGTGAATGTGACTCAAGATCGATTCTTTTTAGTGGAGAGACTTAATTAATCAATTGCGCGAAAAATCGAAATTTTCAGTTGTGTTCTTTATATACAAAATAAAACATTTAATGTGTGTGTTGAAGAAATATATCATGAGTTAATCGAAATTAAAGTGCATGAAATTTTATTATAAACAATAAGATAATAGAAATTAAATTAATCTCGATCGCTGAAATGAGAAGACTATACAAATAGGCTCATTAACAAAAAAGGCATCTGAATAAAAAAATAGCTCATGAAATTCTCTCTCGTCCTATGTATTTATATCTTCACTGACATTTTATTTACTAGAAAAAATTTCGAATGTAACAATGACACCTTGAAGTAGCAACTACACGAGAAGCTGTACTTTTTTTTTCTAAATTTCCTACTAATATAAGAATAGTCATTTATAAAAGTAATTATATATTTTAATAGCTCGTGAAATCTACTGTAAGACTGTTATTTACTTTTTTATGGAAGCTTTTAACTTTTAACTATGGTTCGTTTAATATTTTAAATACAGATGAACAAATCGCATGTCATAATTAAATTTACTTGGAAATGTCTTCTTCTGTTAAATAATTAATAACATTGGATGAGTATGAAGTCAACGATGATCGTCAAACAACCGTTTATTTAAAAGGCTATATGAAATAAAGTTTTCGATTTAAAACTTCTGACGAATAATAGTTGTGAACAAATCAACTTTATTAGTTCACCTGGCCATCAGATAAGTTGCAATCGGCTTGTTGCTATTAAGTTCAATTCTGTGGTAATATTACATAATTTCTACGATACAGCAAGAATCATTACGGAGTTTGTTGCTTTTAAGTTCTAACTCATAATTCGATATCTTAGCTATAGCATATCATCTTAAATGAAACGTGAATCATTATTGATTACCTGTCATACGAGTTCAATGTTTACATTTGTTACCTCATAAACTAGACAATTAAATTGATATTCATCATTTATATATTCTTTTCTTTTACATAAATACTTCGATCATCTTGCAAAATGTTGAATACGATGGAGTGTAAGATCTCAATGCTGTTATAAATTCTTCGTCGATTATCTTTGCATCTGTTTGCAAAATAATAATATTGATCGAATACATTGTTGCAGTTTTCAAAAAGCAGATCCGATTCCATAGAATTGATCTGTTTCAATAGTTCAGCTCTTTTGCAAAGAATTGAATCATTGATATCAGTTAAGTTCCTCAATGACGAACTGTTACAGGTTTCATGGTCGTCCTAAATTTTACTCATGGAATTAAGTTTTAAAGAACAAAGATGCATACACTGTAGAACTAAAGAAGACGAAATATGCAAAAAATAACTTTTGATATTTGATTTAGTTCACATAATCTTACTGAAATTCCCCGTTTGTTTTAGAAATCTGTCTTAATCGTAACTATGTTTCATAGTTATTCTATTTGACATACTTATTATTGTTATGGGACGATCGATAACTGACAACGTGACACATGGTCATTGTAGAATAAAG